GTCAAGCAGTGTGAGGTCCTAGCCACGTCAGAAGAGACCTCGCCGTTTCTGGGGACTGCGAGCTGCGAGTCAGTCGCCACGTTCGTGGGCTCCTGGTCAGGTCAGATGAGACCTCGCCGTCCCTGGAGGTGGCGAACTCCGAGTCTGGCTCCCAGGATGTCCAGCGGAGTGACGTCTTCTTCGGGTCAATTGAGGCCTCGCCGTTCCTGGGGACTGCGATCTGCGAGTCAGTCGCCATGTTCGTGAGCTCCTGGGATGTCCAGCGGGGTGACGTCTATTCAGGTCGGATGGGACCACGCCGTTCTTTGGGGCTATGAACTGCGAGTCAGTCGCCACTTTCTTGGGCTCCTGGGAAGTCCGGTGGAGTTGGGTCCGATGCAGATCAGATGAGACCTTGCCGAGCCTTGGGGCGGCGAACTGTGAGTCTGTCGCCACTTTGATGGGCACCCAGGATGGCCAGCGTGGTGACGCCTTGGTCAGGTCAGGTGGGACCACGCCGTTCCTTGGGGCTGCGAGCTGCGAGGCAGTCGCTACGTTCATGGGCTCCTGGGGGGTCCAGCGGAATTCGCCGGCCCAACGGGCCAGAGGCGTGCTAAGATCTCCGGTAACTGGTTAACAATTTTCTAGTTCGCGCGCGCGGGGCGGCCCCTGGGGGTCCCCGGACGAAAAGTACCCCGACCAGGTCCCGGCCGGGTCCCCCCGAGCGCTCCATGAGCGCACCAACAGGGCTCCGAGACGTCCCCGAGAGCCCCAAGAAAGGCCAAGAGGCCCCCAAGAGGCCCCCAAGATGGTACACGAGGGGTCCGACATGCCACAAGATCGCTCCAAGACGCCCAAGATAGCCCCCAGACGCCCCAAGAGGCCTCCAAGAGCACTCCCAATAGGGCCCCCGGAGGCAAAAATCATTGTTTTTCCATAGGTTTTTGAGAGATTTTGGAGCTTCCACCTTTTCGGCTTCCCGACGCCCCAAGACGGCCCAAGAGGCCCCCAAGATCGCCCCAAGAGGGCCCAAGAGGCACCCAAGAGGGCCCCAAGATGGCCCAAGAGGGCTCGAAGACGGCCCAAGAAGCCTCCAAAACGGTCCAAGAGGGCCCCAAGAACGCCCCCAAAGGGGCCCCAGAGAGGGAACACGAAACAACATTTCGAGCCCTCGGCCCTAAGAAGCCCCTACGAGGCCCCTAAGAGGCCCCAAGAGGCCCCCACGGGGCCCTCAGGAGGCCCCCAAGAGTCCCCCAAGCGGCCCCAGGAGGCCCCCCAAATGCCCCCCCGAGCGCCCCAGGAGTCCCCCAAGCGGCCCCAGGAACCCCCAAAGCGCCGCATTGACACCAGGCCCTCGGGCAAACGGCAGACATGAGACTGTATGGGCCGGCGGAATGAGCGAAGCGATTAAATAAGGTCTTATCCAGATCAGATGAGATCTCGCCGTTCCTTGGGGCGGCGAACTTCGAGTCGGTCGCCACGTTGGTTGGCTCTTGGGAGGTCCAGCGGGGTGACGTCTTAGCCAGGTCAGATGAGACCTCGCCTTCCCCAGGGGCTGTGAACTGTGAGTCGGTCGCCAAGTTCGTAGGTTCCTGGGGGGCCAGCGGAGTTGGGTCTTATGCAGGTCAGGTGAGACCTCGAAATTTCTGGGGGCGGCGAACTTCGAGTCTGTCGCCACCCTGATTGGCTCTTAAGATGTGTCACGGGGTAACGTCTTACCCAGGTCAGATTAGACCTCGACGTCCCTGGGGACTGCGAGCTGCGAGTCTGTCGCCTTTTTGATGGGCTCCGAGGAGGTCCATCGGGGTGACGTCTTAGCCAGGTCAGATGAGACCTCGCCGTCCCTTGGGGCTGCGAGCTGCGAGTCAGTCGCCACGTTCGTGGGTTCCTGGGGGGGGCCAGCGGGGTTGGGTCCTATGCAGATCAGATGTGACCTCGCCGTTCTTTGGGGCGGCGAACTGCGAGTCGGTCGCCACCTTGATTGGCTTCCAGGATGTCCAGCGGGGTGACGTCTTATTCAGGTCAGATGAGACCTCGCCGTCCCCAGGGGCTATGGACTGCGAATCAGTCGCCACTTTCTTGGGCTCCTGGGAGGTCCAGCGGAGTGACGTCCGATGCAGATCAGGTGAGACCTCGCCGTTCCTGGGGGCGGCGAACTTCGAGTCTGTCGCCATCCTGATTGGCTCCTAGGATGTCCAGCGGGGGGACGTCTTCTTCAGGTCGGGTGAGGCCTCGCCGTTTCTTGGCGAGTTGCGAGCTGCGAGTCAGTCGCCACATTCGTGGGCTCCTGGGAGGTCCAGCGGCGTGGCGTCTTGTTCAGGTCAGATAGACCTCGCCGTCCCTGAGGGATGCGAACTGCGAGTTTGTCGCCAGTTTCGTGGGCTTCTGGGAGGTCCAGTGGAGTGACGCCTTATGCATATCAGATGAGACCTTGCCGTCCCTTGTGGCTGTGAACTTCGAGTCTGTCGCCACTTTCTTGGGCTCCTGTCCAGCGGGGTGACGTCTTCTTCAGGTCAGATGAGACCTCGCCATCCCTGGGAGCTGCGATCCGCGGGTCAGTCGCCACGTTCGTGGGCTCCTGGGAGGTCCAGCGGATTGACGTCTTACCCAGATCAGATGGGGCTTCGTCGTCTCTAGGCGCAGCGAGCTGCGAGTTTGTCGCCACGTTCAGTGGGCTCCTGGGAGGTTCAGCGGGGTGACCTTTTATTTCAGGTCAGATGAGACCTCGCCGTCCCTGGGGGCTGTGAACTGCGAGTCAGTCGCCACGTTCGTGGGCTCATCGGAGGTCCAGCGGAGTGACGTCGTATGCAGATCAGATGAGACTTCGCCGTTCCTGGGGGCGGCGAACTGCGAGTCTGTCGCCACATTCGTGGGCTCCTCTCCAGCGGGGTAACTTCTTATTCAGGTCAGATGAGACCTCGCCGTCCCTGGGAGCTGCGATCCGCGGGTCAGGCGCCACGTTCGTGGGCTCCTGGGAGGTCCAGCGGATTGACGTCTTATCCAGATCAGATGGGATTTCCCCGTTCCTTGGGGCTGCGAGCTGCGAGTCTGTCGCCACGTTCGTGGGCTCCTGGAAGGTCCAGCGGGGTGACGTGTTATTCAGGTCAGAAAGGGACCTGGCCTTCCGTGAGGGCTGCGAACTACGAGTCAGTCGCCACGCTCGTGGGCTCCTGGGAGTTCCAGCGGGTTTTTTCTCACCAGAATGAGACCCGGCCGTCCTTGGGGGCTGCAAATTGCGAAACTGCCCCCTTCCGTTTCGAGTCTGAGGCCAAAGTTGCATCTATCTTGCTCTCGTCTTTTCATTGGTGTTCTGTGAGGCGTGGAACCCGCGAGCTTCCCATGCAGTGAGTTCTGACCACACTTTGCGGTCGTATCAATGAGGCCATTCTTTCTGGCCACTTGTTGCAGCGGGGTCGGGTACGTCGCCAGGGTAGTCGTTTTGCGCGCTCGCGCTGGGACCA